CGTGATTGTCACGTGATATTTTCTCCCATTGTCAATTGTCACGTCCAATTGTCACTCCCTCCAATTGTCACGTGATATTTTTATAGGCAATACCTAAGACTACCTCTCCCTAAGGACAACTCAATCAGACGTTAGGCGGCACGGGCGGACATCGATAGCAGCGCCTCTATCGGTCACTAGGGAAAGCTGGGCTGTAGGCGACGAAATACCGGCTGAGTTGTCACACGTTGAATAGGTTTATAGCCATCCGTCTTGTGAAAAAGTTGAATTTTCGCCTTTAATATTTCTACAGGCAATTTTAGAAGTGTCTTCACATGGATTACAAAACCGTTTAGATTATTGTACTCACTTCAAGCCTTCCCTATTGTTCTTGATGATGCGGGAACTATTTCTAATTAGTGTTTCTAGCTTAGTAAAAGAACATACTGTGCAAACGATGAAAAAAAGCATAAATGGAAGATTTTAAATGCAATTTTCTCTAACAATTAATGGTAAATTCTCTACATATCAAGGAAAAGGTGCATGCTAACTGATAATTTAAAGTTCTTTGGGCCTGTTGTTTTCTTCTTTTCTTACGTCGCCCCAATGGCCGCGAATACACTTGTGATAACGCCTATCGAAGAACGACCGCGTAAGCGTAGCGTCAATAATGTATTATCTGCGCCAGTTCTGTAGTAATTTTGCATGCTTCCAAAATGGCGGCCATGCTTGTATAGTGGTGGTTCGCTCATGAAAATGAATCATGAAAATGAAATGTGGTTGCAATATTTTTCACCGAGTTCGGTCCTCAAACTATGTTTTTCTGATTCAGGAAAATAAGAAATGCTAGTAAAAAAAAAAATCAGCTCCATACATTGATTTTTTTTCGATGATACTGTCCCTTTAAGGTATTTCTATATAGTAAAAGAGTAACGAGCCTTACAGCCCTCCACAGGAATACGTCGTCAAAAGACCTGGCAGCACACGCCATTTTATTGACATAAAGCACTCTAGCAATTGACGTAAAGCGGTGATGCCGTAAGCTACGAGTATATTGGCTGTAACAGAAAGGGTGCAATCGATAAGACCAAATGCAGGAGTATATTCAAAACGACATCCAACGACAGAAGATTGCTCTGTCAGCTCAGGTCATAGCGAAGCAGTGTGACAGCACTGTGTCACGAACAGTGATACAAAGTGACACTGACTGACATCACAGTGACACTGTCTGTGACATCACAGTGTCACGGACTGACAGCAGAGAGACACCAGAGCAGCGATACATATGCTGATTCGGGCCCTAATGCGGTTTGGATTACAATGCATAACTCTACAGCCCGGTTCCCACTGGGCCCGTCACCCGTCGAAACGGGCCCGTCGCCGTCACCGACCGTTTTCAAGGCCGCTTTTCCAAAGTTGAATATGGTAGCCATGAAACGGGCCATCTGGTAGCACTTGTCGTGACAAAAACGGCGCGCGTGATTCGTTCTACGCGCAGTGTTGGGAAACGGGGGAGGCCGGCTGGCCGGCGGTGGCCGGCGGCGTCTCGCTGTGGGGAGTCCGTCCCGGGTCCGGCGGGCCGTCCCGGACCACGGGGGTCTGTCCGAGCGGCCGCGTCCCCCTTACCGCCTTCCGGCGGAGAGGGGTCAGTTTGGCGAGAGGTTTGGTGCAGTGTGCATGTGATGTGAACATACTGGACAAGTGGACAACCACAGGTTTGCTTTTAATTATTTCAAACACCTACTATCATAGTATTTTCCAGACAGGACCACACTTCAATCAAGTTGACTACCTAAAATACCATCACATTTCCAGCCAAATCGCTGGATGATCAGTAATGTATTATTGTGCTGGGGGGGGGGGGGATGTATAATACTCCTGTTTGAGCTGCTAAATTTGAGCATTGTCCTCATGGCTGGACCGACATATGTACCATTGTACCAGAGCGGCGCAATGCTAGAGGAGTTTAACGACAATTTCTCTTCAAAATGTATGACATTCTACGCTATTTTACTGAAATAATCAGTTTTACATGTTTTACAATCATCTACAACCTCGTTTAAAGCATACTCACACGTAAAATTAGAGGGAACACAGAAGCACCGACACGAAAAACGGGCCCGTTCCGCGCCAAAACATGAATATTTTCATGTCTCCGAAACGGGCTCCGACGGCGACGGGCCCGTCACAGTCAGCTGTTGCGCCCCGTCATGTGGCGTCGCCGCCCGGTTCCCACTGAGCCCGTCAGGGACGGGCCGTAAACGGGCCCGTCAACGGCGACGGGCCCGTTTCGACGGGTGACGGGCCCAGTGGGAACCGGGCTTACAATTGCCTAATTTCTACCGAATAGACGATGTAGCTAATTAATTCGACAAGTGTCGTCGATTTGGCGGTGTCTTTGTTGAGGAAAATCAACAAGCCAATTGAATCATTTCTATGTTTTCTGATGTCTTAAAGGGACTATCCCACCTTTAAAGGGACAGTATCACCATTTTGATGAAATTTGACATTGCATAGGCCCCACCTTTCTGGTCCGGAAACTGAAGACCGATCCTCGAAGCTCCACACCGTTATCCCGCAATCGCCGCTCAAAGTACGAAAGGTGTACTACACTTTGAATCGTGCTTCACTATCTTCACTGTTTAAATGTTTGCGCCGTTTTGAATTGACCGCCAGTAATAAAACTTTTACCCTGGTCATTTCATCAAATTTTATAAAGCCAAAACGTTTTTCGCACTTATTCATCACCGTTAAATTCATTAAATAGTCGTAGGCAATTTCCGCTGTTTCCTTCGGATTCTAGCGGCTCAACAAAGGAATTCCTCCGGCTTGAATCACAATCTCCCTCCAATGTATGACGTTTATCACGTGATTGTCACGTGATATTTTCTCCCATTGTCAATTGTCACGTCCAATTGTCACTCCCTCCAATTGTCACGTGATATTTTTATAGGCAATACCTAAGGCTACCTCTCCCTAAGGACAACTCAATCAGAAGAACGACCGCGTAAGCGTAGCGTCAATAATGTATTATCTGCGCCAGTTCTGTAGTAATTTTGCATGCTTCCAAAATGGCGGCCATGCTTGTATAGTGGTGGTTCGCTCATGAAAATGAATCATGAAAATGAAATGTGGTTGCAATATTTTTCACCGAGTTCGGTCCTCAAACTATGTTTTTCTGATTCAGGAAAATAAGAAATGCTAGTAAAAAAAAAAAAATCAGCTCCATACATTGATTTTTTTCGATGATACTGTCCCTTTAACATGGGGTTTGAGTTGAGATAGCCAAGTTTGCGGCGAGGTTCAGAAACCCCTATCTATCTAGGTTGCAACCCCCGCGGCCTCTTGGTGTTGAAGAAATTCGTTCCCTTCATTTGAAAATGGGCCTTGTGCAAGGCCCTATCTTCAACATGGAGCGACCGTTAGTGTGACGTCACCTCGTTTAGTCACTCTGATTTAAATGGATTTGTTCGTTGAAAAATGGCTTAAAACTTGGTCTGAACTTTGTTGTGGTGCCTACAGAGTAAAAAGAATCAGCTTTATGGCAGTAATGTGGCCTGGGGAAGGAGGTAATTTTGGGCTGTGACGTCACATATTTGAAAGTTTGTGTTTGGAATATGGGAAGCCTAAGATGTTTAATGAAAAATAAATGCCAGAACCGTGTTCCTGGTCATCCAATCTATAAAGTCGGGCACAATTTAACTGGTTTTAACAACATTTTAGAAGGTGGGATAGTCCCTTTAAGCGCATGGATAATCTCAGTGCTAGTGTGAGACCTTGAAAATTAATCTTCGCCCTGGAAGGGATGGGGGCGTTTTTGGCAACTTCTGCCAGTTTTTTTGTGAGTGTAAAGAAAACCGTGGCGCGCAGCGCTGCAAAACTTAGTATAGCTTATGATACATCAATTGCATCACGGCATTCACGGGTAACTTTTTTGACCCCAGGGCCTCGTTTCATAAAACTCTGCCGTAACTTACACCTTTCCGTAATTCACACCCTTTCAAACTACGGAGCGCAAATGAAGCGGTTTCACAAAGCCACGACTGGAATTGTTTACTCCTCCGTAACTAAGCACATTTGCGTAGTTGCCGTAATTTATCAAGCGTCCTACAAATTACAATTTCGTGTCAACACTTATTTTTTACGAGAAATTATAAAACAATTATGTTGAATGTTAATCTTAAAAATTATTTATGAAAAAAAACAAAATTGATATTGATGACCATCCTTTAATAAATCAATATATTGAAAATAGCAGAAAGCCAGCTAAGCAGAAGTGCCTTACTACGAAAGTGGCGCGGCGTGGCGAATAAACAAAATTCCGATAGTTGCCACAGTTGCCACAAAAATCGACTGGTACAGAAGATTTGCAGTTTCTTTTTCTCATTTTGGCTGTTCTTTCTTCCTCACCGGGCTCAACATTATAAAATATATTAAAAATTAGCTTCGAATCTTCACATTAGTTCAAAATCACGCAACATTTTTGTGCGTAGTTTACACCACTGATATCAAGAACTTGATAAAATATTTGGCGTTAATTACGTCGTTTTATGAAACCCAAATGGCATCAATTGGTCCGGATTCGAGCATTTGCCGTAAATGAAGCTCCGTAATTTCGATGGCGTGAATTACTCCGGTCTCCGGCTTTATGAAACCGAATTGGCATCAAATACGCCAAATCTGGCATAATTGACGGAACGCCGTAAGTAATTCCTTTTATGAAACGAGGCCCAGATCACATAAGGTCAGGTCACCAGGGCCTCGTTTCATAAAGCTCTGCCGTAACTTACACCTTTCCGTAATTCACACCCTTTCAAACTACGGAGCGCAAATGAAGCCGTTTCACAAAGCCACAACTGGAATTGTTTACACCTCCGTAACTAAGCACATTTGCGTAGTTACCGTAATTTATCAAGCGTCCTACAAATTACAATTTCATGTCAACACTTACTTTTTTACGAGAAATTATAAAACAATTATGTTAAATTTAGATCTTAGAAATTATTTATGAAAAAACAAAATTTATATTGATGACCATCCTTTATTAAAACAACATATTAAAAACAGCATAAAGCCAGCAGAAGCAGAAGTGCCTAACTACGAAAGTGGCGCGGCGCGGCGAATAAACAAAATTCCGATAGTGGCCACAAAAAGCGACTGGTACAGAAGATTTGCAGTTTCTTTTTCTCTTTTTGGCTGGTCTTTCTTCCTCACCGGGCTCAACGTTATAAAATATATCAAAAACTAGCTTCAAATCTTCACATTAATTCAAAATCACGCAACATTTTTGTGCGTAGTTTACACCACTGATATCAAGAGCTTGATAAAATATTTGGCGTTAATTACGTCGTTTTATGAAACCCAAATGGCATCAATTGGTCCGGAATCGAGCATTTGCCGTAAATGAAGCTCCGTACTTTCGATGACGTGAATTACTCCGGTCTCCGGCTTTATGAAACCGAATTGGCATCAAATACGCCAAATCTGGCATAATTGACGGAACGCCGTAAGTAATTCCTTTTATGAAACGAGGCCCAGGTCAAGTTGGGTGACCATGCCTCTAAACACTTTGTGAGTCATTCACACAGTATACATCTCAGAAGTTTGAAACTCGGGGAATGGGACCAGGAGGAGCAGGAGCTCTCCTGTAAATGGGACGCCAGATTGCCCGTTGGAGAGAGGTCGGAATAAGTAAATGGATAAATAAGTATAGTACCTTTCCCACAAAAAAAACGTCAAATTTTGAGTTTTTGCCCTCTGGAGGCTAAACTGTTGATCTAAGGTCAAATCTTAACGTTTTTGGCCACATCTACCAGTTTTTTGCGAGTGTTAAGAAAACGAAACATGGTATAGCTTATGATACATCAATCGCATCACGTGTAAGTTTTTTGAACCCTGCTGCTATTTTTTTTTGCTGAGAACAATGAACAGAATGTCCTTTGAAAGAGCTATCGAATGCGCTTTTCTGCAGCGCTATAGCTCCATTGGTTCCCAAACTGTGAGCCGATTTGTGAAAAGTTGTCAAAATCGGGAACAAAAAATTGTAAAAATTTTACCTTTGATGTCCTCTAGTGACCTCAGCAATGACCTGATCAAAAATTACCCTCTAATCTGAAAGATCTTATAGCGAACTATCTATTGCTTTTCACTGCGGCTTTCTAGCTTGCCAACTTTCCGAGATAACCTGATGGGACCAAAAAGGCCCCCACCACCATGTCGAAGTTGACTGAGAGGCCCATCCTTGCGTGGGTTGTAATGCTGTGATTACATCATTGGTGCATAGTAATTTCTAGTCGGATAGAGCACCTATCGGATACAGCACCTTTCTTGATGCACTTTTGTGCGTTTCCTAGTTCCTCTGTGTCGTCCGCGTCGTGTTCCCGCTTCGGTGCATTCTCCTTTTTTTCCCCAGCATTCTCTCTTTTTTCCTCAGCATTCTTCCTAGTTTCCTCAGCATTCTCCTTTTCTTTCTCAGTATTGCTCTTTTCCTCAGCAGTCTTCCCGTCCTTCTTGGCCTCCCCGTACCATTTCTCCAACTCTTGTTGTCTTTGCGTCAGCCGGGGGTTTGGCAACTTGCACAGTTTAGGGATGAGCACCATGTTTGAGGTGCCGCTGTTGATTCTGCCGCCATCAAATTTTTTAAGACGACCGTTTTTGGCTACAGCCACAAACGGGGTAGAAATTAATTTATTTTGCAGCAGCTGATTCAACTCGGTAGCCGGGTCCCTCTGTAGAGCCAGGGTAATGCCGGACTCTAGCCCGGTGGTCTCGTCCACCAGCGTTAGTTCGATTTCAGGTTTTGCAAATTGGTTTTGCCCAATGGCTCCGATTTCCGTGCACATGCCGATGACGTCACACATGCCAAGATCTGTTGCTGTGCCATTTTGGCTGACCTGTTTTTTCAGCTCTTCTATTTTTTTAAATTCGTACGTTCTGTACGGCATCTTGCGGATCTCTGACTTCTCAGTAGATACCAGCTCGAAGTCGGCTTTAATAGGAATTTGATAGTCGTCTCGGTCTCCTCGCCAGTCTCTTGCTACCAGGTGAGTGAATGTATAAACACCGTTGATGACGACCTCTTTCATTTTGTCACCGAACTTATCGCACTTTATCCTGATTTCTCCAGTGTGATCGCGGCACTCTAGAAACGGAAATTTACCAAAGTTGCCGACGAGAGTGCTCATGTTCATAACTCTTGCAGTGATGGTGATGTCGGTATCATCACTGGCAACACTAGCTATAGGCGTTATTTTCATTGCTTTGTCTTCCATGCCTCCTTTTCTTTTCCCAGTCTCCTGTTTACGGACGTCGGCTTTTTCCAGACTCGAAACCTGGTGACAAAGTGCGAAATTTAACATTAAACCATATGTTTTTTCTTAAGCACAAAAACGCTAAACATAAACTGGCGGCGGTCAGAATACTATACACAATGGTTGACTTGGATGCGTTCATTGACCAACTCAGCAGTAACTGAGTTTAAACCAGACCTTCGAACATTTTGAACCTAATTTAGCCCTCAGTATTGACCTGTTCATAGCGGCTCACATGTATGTGCTGGGAATGGGTCGGTGGGACCATTCATCCATATGGTTGGACTTTAAAAAAGACGATTTTAACATAGCGAAGCCTGATATATGCATGGCTATCTATGCGATCATGATGTGTTACGTTTTTAATTGCTATTTTAACCCTATTAGTGGCAGGGGGGGGGGTTGTTTTTATCCACCCCTCAGGTTTTTCGGGAATATCTCCGAAACCGCTGAAGCTACGATGTTGAAATTTTCTGACTTTTCCTAAAACTAAATTGGGCACATTCCCTGAAAATTTCAAGTTCACAACTTTACCAGGGGCGGCTCCAGAGCACTGGGAATTGGGGGGTCCTATTCGTGAAGCGAGTCATTTGGGCGAAGATCACGATGCTGCACCAGTTTTACGAACAGTGAATGAAAGGTATCATGTGATAACATATACAGTTATTGTGCATCCTCTTTTGACACGTTTTTGCTATAATAGGCGGATCCAGGTGTCCAAAAAGGGGGGTTATGTTTTACCTCCCAACATAGGTGCCCTGACACCGCCTATGCATGACCAATACAATTCTAGTCGTTCTCTCATAAGAAAATTGTAACATAACAAGACCATTACCACCCTTTTTAGAAACAGTACCAACAAAAACCTTATTTACTATACTTTTTGTGTACCCCCAATCTCAATGATCTGTATCCGCCTATGATTTTTGAAAATGCATATTTTTAGGATCCATGTGAATTCCTGGTTCATTCTCTATCGATCGGCAAAAGTTGCGTTAAGATTGATTCAGAAACCTGGCCGTGATAAACAGTCTAAAATGTATCTGCAATTTGCCCGTTTTTACCCCCCTCTACCCCCCCCCCCCCTATTGACATTTTTTATTTTTTATTTTTTAGAAATGTAGATCACGTTGAGCGAAATCGAATGCCGTTTGAATTTTGAAAATCGGCCCGTTAGATCTCGAGATATCAAGGGGGGGTCGTAAACAGCCCCCCCCTGCCACTAATAGGGGGTAGCCAGGAGCCTGCCACTAATAGGGTTAAAGGATGAAACAGACTCTTTCCGCGTTCAGGAAATCGCATGCGAGAGCCTATTCAAATACATTGTAATTCTTCTCGCATCAATCGCTTGCGGGAGGTGCGTGCGATTGATGCGAGCGTGCTTCCATGTATTTGAATAGGCTCTCGCATGCGATTTCCTGACTGCGGAAAGAATCTGTTTCAGGCTTTAGTCTAGTACCGCTATTTGAAGTACAGTAAATATCTGTTCTGCTTGGCCTTTTGGGAGCAAAGTCTTGACAAAGCAGCATGCTTGCCACATGCAACTCTTGCACTTCATCCACATGATTCTGAGGTGAAGTATTCCTCATTTTTGCAAGCTAATCAATATGCAAAGCAAGGTTAAACCAACCAGAGAAATCATGTCTTTGACCAATCCCGTCAGCCCTGGATCCAACTCTGATGCTTTCAATTAACCCGCGCCCCGTAGGGGGGGGCCGAAACGGCCCCCCCTGTCCTTTTCCGTCGATATCTCCTAAACGGCTAAAGATATCGCCACCAAACTTTCAGGACCCCTCCGGGCTTCAATTTTACACATTGTGACCAAAATTTTTTTTTCCAGAGGCTATGATAGGTTGGCCACAAATGACGTCAGAATGACGTCATGTTCTGCAATTTTCGACCGAAAAAAGACCTTCGCGAGAAGAGCTGTCAGGCCTACAGCTTTGAAGATACAGAAAAATGATCAAGACATAAAAGATGTAAAATGAACAGGGCTACAAAACTGCTATCTCGGATTTTTGAAATTTTTGAGTTTTGACCCCCAAAAGTAAAAAATGCGATTTTTTTTATATATTAGCCAAAAAATCCAAAAAGTTTTTTGAGTTTCGAAAAAACCGGAATATATGTGATAGTACCCACTGTCTTCTATCTACATACCAAATTTCAGATCGATATCTCGTTTTTTGGCCAAGTTATAGCGAAAAAAACTGTTCAAAAATGATGACGTCAAATTTTCAAACTCATTTTTTTGGCAATTCTAGACCACGTAGGGCAAAACAAAGACCACCATTGGACTCCCCGTGACGAGCTGCATCGAATCGATACCCATTTTTTTGCAAAAATATCAACTTTGAAATTTGACCTAATATGACCTGACCTTGATCTGACCTTCACCAAAACGTGACCTAAGCTGGCCCCAAAGGCTGCCTGACCCACATAATCGCATTTGTCATGTAAAATGGACCATAAAACATGTATCACATGACACTTTCATATTGTGACCCCCAGTGACCTGACCTCTGTGACCTGACCTGGTATCAGTGACCTCAGATAGCGAAGTATGTGTTTGACGAACAATGTACCATCGATGGTTTTCAATAACGTACAAATTTACTCGATTTCCCAACACATTTCTTGAAATGCCTGTGAACGGTGAAAATCCGACCTTTGACCTGACCTGACCTGTAACGTCATCGGTTTGACCTAGGTCAATGAAATTTGGTCACAAGGTAGTTCCCGGGTGGGGCTATCGAACGCCGTTTGAATTTTGAAAATCGGCCGGTAACTTTCCGAGATCTTAGGGGGGGGGGGGCCGAAACGCCCCCCCCCCTACGGGTGGTAGGGTCCGCCGGTAGCCCTACGGGGCGCGGGTTAAATTAGCTGCCACGTATCCTCATCGCTCCGCCTCAAATCTTACCGTGCGTTCTGCAGCGGCCCTGCGCTGCTCGATGGTACCAAAGAACGTCTGAGAGCTGGGACGGGCCTTCGATCTGAGGAGGTGCCCCACCCAGATAGTAACTATCACAGTATCATCAATATCACTATCACTGTCACATTGCAATGCGTCACCCCGTCCTCAACACGGCTCGGATAATCTCATAAGTCTCCGCGTAACCCCACTTCAGATAAGCAGCTCAGTGTTCGAGGTCTAACAAGTGAGTCACTGGCTCTTCAACACAGCTAGGATGATAATCCTACAAGTCCCCTTGTAATCCTGATTAGCGTATCGGCGGGTGGTCCGATCACATGACACTGATAGGGGAGCAATGTCCGGTTAGTCTGCAGGCTTTTAAAGGTGAGATAGTGTCTGAATATATAGCCGGGGCGTGATGAAGCGATAGCCAGATATGCGGTGTGTGGGTCCACTTGGCTGCAAACGACATACGTACCTCGCACAGAAAATGGGCCGTATGATAATCATATGCATGGCAATAACAATCATGTGTATGACGTTTGTGAAAAGCGATAATGTGAACACATATATTGCACAAAACGGAGACGAAATAGGTCTCAATAGGTCACCTATTTTGTCTCCGTTTTGTATTTTGTGTGTTTTATTTATATATTTGCACACTGATGAAGTAATATCGAAACCGGTTTGTGCAATATATGTGTTCACTGTTCACATTATCGCTTTTCACAAACGTCAAACTGTCATACCACATATGTATGACATACACTAATCGTTTGATTTATAGGGTAACTGAATAACCTCCGGCGAAACCTTTCGCGATTTAGGTAAATATCTGATCATTCGTTTATATCAATTCGTCACTCACCAAAATATCCCTATGCTAATTCCGGCATACCTTGCTAACATTTCGTCAAAAATAAAAACATATACGCTGCTTTATAACGGATAAATTTGAGCGCGTACAGTGCGAGGCATAACTCGTAGGATATTTATTTAGGTAGGTACCTAAAAGCGGCACCTGTTCATGAGCGTCATAATTGGACGTAGCTGATACGGCATCAGTTGATTTAACAATAAATAGGCAGCAGAGTGTTTGAGAAGCCCAAATGCAACCCCGCCGCGGGTGCCGGACCCAGTTCGCCAACTGTCCAACAATTCGGCCGCGGGTCCGGCCGGCCGCTTGGAGCATCCTCCCAAGACATCGCTCGGTGATGACACGATGACACGATGACGATGACACGATGACACGACATGACACACGATGAAACGACATGACACACGATGACACATGACACGATGACGGCCGGCTTCGCGGTTCGCGACCCCAAGCCCGACGCTTGACTGTCTAAAAGCCAACTCTGTTTAGCGCCGGCAGTGTCCTCGTATCTCGCAGCGTTTTGACAGTAACCGTCTTCACGACGGTTAGCTTGTACGTACATTTGGTCACATTCGCGGTACGAATTGATCAAATTTAGGTTATACGTGATTGTTAGTGGTTAATTGGGTTGCAATATGTAGTTGTTGAATGTCCATATACCTCATTTAGGAAATTATCAGATTATTAAAAAAAAACATCGAAATAAATTTTTGTACGAAAATATTAGCTGTGATAAAAGTCTGGTTAGATTTTGCCAAGTTTGATGGTGCGGCTGCCAGATAGGTTCGTCCCGCCACCTAGCGTTGTATCATCAAACTACCATGAAGCGCTGAACGGCTCCGGTCATAGGTGGCAGCACCAGCGTGTTGTGTTCGTCTAGCCAATCGGCCCTGCACGGGCCAGCAGAGGCTTGGCTGGCTTCCAGGAACTGAGAAACTACGAGTGTGGTCCATTGATGCGTGTAGGAGACGTCAGCGACGGTGGTGGACGTACGAGTATGCTGGACATTTGTGAACATAATATAGTCAGATTGGGAGTGTTTATAGGCTGAGCAGCCTTCTTGTTTTGTCCCATAATTTGTGTTGTAATTTGTCTGGTTTCGTGGTTCGCAGCGAAACGCTCAGAGTCCGATGCTCGACTGTCTAAAAGCCTGTTCTGTTTATTTTCTATTATTTTCTATTATTTTAAATGAGAAAGTGCGTATGAGACAATGTCATATTCGAAACCTGAAATTGAAACGAATGTCAGCAACACCGAATGACGAATCTGATATTGATTTGTGTCGATAGTTTATTCATATATTGCATTATGATTATAAATCCGCAGTTATCATGTTACTTATGAGTTATTTTATCCTTGATTTATTGTTACATATCCTCCTACCAAATAACTTTATAAAGAAGAAAAGGTTGTTGACATACCGTTTTTTAGTTACTAAAGACAATTGGAAAGCTTGACCGTTGATAGTTGATAGGTACTCCAGAGTGATTTGTCTGAAAAATTGAGAACAAAATAAACGAAAGCACCGTTCCGTGCTTCTATCCTCAGGATACTGAAATCCTTCTCCTCCACACCGCCACCCCCCTCCGGGCTGGACAGGCAACTTTATCTCATGCGGGCTGCTCCCTTGGAGCGGCACCGCTGCTCCCGAGGGAGCGCATCCCGTAGCCGGGTGCAGTGAGTGCATTGGGGCTGGGTGGCCTGTCTTCGGACGGGCTCAGCCCCGGCGACTCACTATAATGCCTGCCCAGACCAATGTCTCCCCCTATATCCTTCATCCTCCCGGCTCTGAAATGGTCTTACTGGACCGAACCCGGAACCGAAAGAGCCTAACCCAACAAAACAAACAAACAATAGACGAAAGCACCGTGACTAATCATTCGGAGACATTTCCAACATCATTTACCGGTAGGCGTGTTAGTTTGTACAAAAGACGAATGAGAGACCGCTGAATTGATACAAGTTGTTAAGAAAGACCGTCTGGTCATTACAAGCCCTGGGCCCAATCTTATAAAATGCCGTACTATTCTATTTACGGCATTTGGTAACATTCACAGTAGAGATGTCAATCGGATACCAACTTTTTGGTATACCGATACCAAACCGATACCAACTTGGTATTTGGTATTTAAACCCTAATGTGTTTGGTATTTTGTTGGTATCATGAACCCTCACAAGTGTATAAGAGGCTGAGAATTTGATAAAAAGTTGGTATTTCCCTCATCAGTTTCCACACACAAAAAATATTAACACCGTTAGCGGTGTAATTGCACAGTACATATCTGAGCACTTGAGGAAAGTTTAGTCCCTTCACCGCTTAAATTACTCGCGCTTCTAAATGAACACCAGGAAGAAGGTAATAGAACACTGTTAGGAGGGTTGGGTGTTTTACTACATGTAGTAAAACACCCAACCCTCCTAACAGTGTTCTATTACCTTCTTCCTGCTGTTCATTTAGAAGCGCGAGCAATTTAAGCGGTGAAGGGACTAAATTAACTTTCCTCAAGTGCTCAGATATGTACTGTGCAATTACACCGCTAACGGTGTTAATATTTTTTTTGTGTGCAAGTTGGTTGACAAAGGTTTATCTGGTCTACGAAATGGTTCTTTAGACCGTCAAATTACGATGGACTGAAATGCGTGAAAACCATTTTGCTAGATGCCGGACACCGAGAATGGTGCTGGGTCATCGCGCTGGACTGTGCACAGCTCGCCGTCGGCTTTAATAATTAATGAAAGTATTTTAATGGTAGTCGTTGATAAAATAAAACTCATTAGTTCTAGTACTGACTAAAATACTAAAATTTTGCATTTGATAGTCGTTTTCTGTAGCTGAACTTCAGCCAGTGCTGCCATATCCATTCCACGGCGTTTTTAAGATTGAGCCCTGGTGGGGCCTCATTGCAAACATGCACCAATTGAATAATGCTGATTCCACTTACAAGCCAGCTCCGTAGTTTCACACTGCAAGGCAATCAACTCTTTGTTTCTGCTCCTTTGAATTATGATGATGATGATTATTATTTATTTATGTTTTGAAACATCGATATTCCAACCGCTTAGCAAAAAAATCACTGCACCCCATTAACTTCTTACTTACCTTATGCCCGCCAACAAAACGTATTTCTATGCAAATAAGTGGATACGTTATTGAAGTATTTCCATTTACGCACTGCTCCGGTACCTTTTATCGCACATGATTACACAATGCATAAATGCATGATATGATAGGAAATTATACCGTACAACATCTGTTAGAATTGCCGTGCTACCTGTGCAAGGTGGCTGGGCGATGAGGAACTGCCAACGCTCCAGCAGGTCACTGTCTCCATAAACGCCAAAAATAAGAAGTTAATTACCCCAAGTGATGGATTTTTTCCCTTCATCTCGAGTTTATGCATCCACTGACACGCGATTAGTGAATAACATGTGAGATGATGGTATGGCGCATATATCCCTAGAGACTGGTTGCCACTATAACGATCATTGACGGAACTTCAATTGTTATTTGATTTGATTCCTCAGCAACCGATGTGTTCTGACTGTGGAAGTGAAAAGCTCGCGTAAATCATAGACTTTTGTATTATATGTAAACAATAACATTGATTTTTTTTTAATATCATCGGGTAGGCTGATCAGTGTTCAATGCGACCTTTGTAATAAGCTGACAGATACATTTTTGGTAAGAATCCATTACAATTGCTTTTAAATACTTGGTTGTCCTGTCACGGTACTTTGACAATAAAAACTCGGTTTAACTGAAAATGAAGACCTAAAATGTGCTATCAACGCGTACCGGCGCAGCTCAGGCATGATGGCATTTCTACTGAAACTAGTACAGGTAGCACCTCACACAGCCGACGGAAAATCTATACTGACCATTGTTGTCGGTAGCAGCCATGCAGCGGTTCTTGTGGTGGCTCTACCGACGGTAACGCTGGTAACAACTGCATGCTCTCTTTTTTTATCGAGCGGGTGCTTACTGATACCCCTCTACTGGCAATCGGGTCGGTAGCAATTTGACAGCTGACAAACGAAACCAACCATGAAGCTGCAAGTATCATCACGCCAGACTCCTCTGCCGACTAACATCCATACGCCATTATCAGCATCGGCCAGGCTTGGCTCATTTGTGTCCCAGTTGGCATACAAGATCGGCCCGCAGCCATCCGCTCCCATCAGCGACTCCAGGGTC